TAATGTTATTCAGGCTCAAAGTATTTAAATTTCTCATAACATATACATTATATATTATAAAGATAATGATTAAAGAGACGTATTATAATTAAAGTAGATATATATCTCACTTGTGCGGCGTATTCTTTATGAGTATTTATAGCTCTGATCATCATTTCTTTCTTTTGTTGTTTGCTCTTATATTTCCCAGAAAGCATTATTTTTGCGAATTCGATTGACTCGATGCTGGTTGATCTGATACACTCGGTTCTGGCATTAATAAATCTTCGTAATGTTGCGCTTTCGTAATGAGCTGGCGCCTTCTTTTGTAAATTATAGAAAGTCACTTGCATCGCGATCTGAATAAAACTGTCGGGACTCAATTTAATTGCTTTTATAGCGTCTGCGCCGAATTTGTCGAATGTAAAACATTCCATATCTATGTTGTCTGAGAGTCTAAAAAATCACAAATATTATACATTAAACAGTATTGGCGTAATTATAATTATAAAGGAATAATCAACCTACTTATCTACCGTATCAGTAGCTATTTCGATTGCACAATCTATAGCGTCGTTAGTTTCAAACTTCAAAAGTTCTGGTCTCGGGAAATCCACAGACATTCTATCCATTGCGCTATTTTCTCTTGCCGCGCTGAAAATAGATGGAAATTATTATTTGTTTTTTTAAAATGACATTTTATGCACAATTATTATTTATATATATTTACATATATTTTAATACATAATCATGAAGAACAGCAACTGGAATTCCTTCACATGGACTGTGTTCATATTCCATACCAATGAAACCATCGGCGGATATTATGTACTGTAAAGATATACATGTCCTTTGTTTAGCCCATCAAAAGATATTATGTTAAATATTTGGTTTATCTAAAATCATTTATTCATAAATGTTAATCAGATATTTTACCTGTACAGTTTTGTCATGCCATCTGTTTCCAGCGTTTACATAGCTACTACAACCCGTCATAGATTGAACCGCTCTAACTGAAGCGTTGTTCTTTTCATTAAAAGCGTCTTTAGGTAAATTCTTATCCAGACACAATATAAACAAAGAACTTTCTATATCCTTAATTATATTCCTATTGTTACCCAGTTCTGAAAATAACAACGATAACGATTTGAGATACAATTAACAATTATAAAAAAGTGTGGTTTGAAAAAATAAAACAAATTGTATAAAGGTAAAAAAAAAACAAAGTAAAACTGAAACAAACCTAAAAGTAAGCTGTAATCCTTTGCCCAAGTATCTCTGTCATTTCCAGTTAAAATTCCTATAGGCTTTCCTTGAGTATTTGAGCGATCTGCAATATCTTTTACAGCAGCTACGAGCTTGCCCTCGCTTAAAATGCCATCTTTATTGACAACACAAAGTTTAAAGAACTGTAATACAGATAGAATGTATTCAGCTATATTGTTCCAGTATACTGATTATACTTACATTATTGTTGCTTATGATTATTATGTGTTTGGCCTCGTCTGTGTGTAACAATTTGTCGATTATTTTGTTGGGCCGCCTGTGGGTGCCAAGTATCATGCCATAAGGCTGCATATCAAGTGGATCATTGTGAGCCATTTCTTGTTTAATCTTTCCACTGCAATATTATTGTCAGTAAATACACAAGAAGCAAAAATTGTCATAAACTGCGTAAAACTTACCTTTTAATCATCTCATTGTAATTGCACACTGCTGTAATGAGACGTGCTGCATACACATACATGTCATCTGGTCGATGGAAAGTAATTGGAGGCCCAACAGTTCCAGGACTGGAATGCACAATCACGGGCAAACGATACCCTAAATATGCAACTTCTAGCCACCATTCTTTCATCTAAAATAGATAGATATGCTGATTTGTATAATTTATCTAATATTAATTTAAAAAAGTATAGATATACCCAGTTGTCAGTGTTCTGATATCTCTCCAATAATTTGGCATGTAACCGAGGTCCTGCGCCTGTGATTAGAAATTCACTAACAATCCTCTCTGTATTTTTATATTCATCGTCAGTCAATAATGGCTTTAAGGATCTGTAATTAATAAATTATGAATAATGATACTTGAAGATAAAAGGGTATATAGACATATACCTCAGATAACGTTCCGTAGTTTGCTTGAGATCAGGAACAGGCTGTTTTGGGATTGGTTGCTGATTTAGGTTCAACGTTGTTATAGATGCTTCATGAAGAACAGGCGATGTTTTCCGCAATCCATTGTAGACCTATTGATTCAATCGATTTTATGAAAGAGATTTTACTTTTCTTTCTAAAAAGAATACATGTATGCACTTACTATATACTTGGATACATTGGAGAGTACTTTGTACATAGCTGGTTTCTCTAAAGAATGCGAGCCTAATCTTACTGTACTGTTAAAGAACAAATATTAACAGACATGTTGACATTTCAAAGATAAACAAACGTAATTATGAAATAAATGCGTTATCATGTAGGAAGTATTCAATGGAGATTATTGTTAAGATACATGTCACACTTTGTTATCAAGTTTTCAAAATATCTCAGCAGTCATCTGTCACACTCATACATGTATATTGATGCGTAAGCTCGTGTATATATATATATATATATATATATATATATATATATATA